CTATTCATGCACAGTGAGACAGCACAGGGGGCAGGGGTGCATGGAGGGATATACACAGGAAAGAGGTGATTGTTGTCGGGAGGAAGTGAGAGGGGAGCTGTCGTACTGTGGTTAATTGTGGTCAATGTCATGAGACAAAATATGTGAACTGCTGCATGGAAAATGAATTTGCTCTGTAAATTTTAACCCAGATCACAATTTAAAAAAAAAAACCACCATCATGGCTTGGGTCAAGTGCATCTTTGTTCTTTAACACTTAAAAGAAAGTGTTTTTCAGCAGATTTGCCCAATGTAATATGTCATTTGATTTCTTGACACTGCTTCTAAGGACGCTGACTGCTGATTCCAAGTAAAATGAAACCTTTGAAAACTTCAATCTTTCCTCCATTTATCATGATGTTGCTTATTCGTGCAGTTGGAAGGATTTTTGTTTTCTTGATGAGGTGCAATCCATACTAAAGGCTGTAGTATCTGATTTCATCAGTAAGTACTTCGAAACTTCTTGACTTTCAGCAAACTAGACTGTATCATCTGCATATTGCAGACTGTTAATGAGTCTTCCTCCAATCCTGATGCCACATTCTTCTTCATATAGTCCAGGTTCTTGGATTATTTTCTCAGCATAAAGAATGAGTAAGTATGGTGACCCTGACACACACACCTATCTTGATTTTTAAACCACACAGTATCCCCTTGTTTTATTTAAACAACTATTTCTTGATCTATATACAAGTTCCTCATGAGCATAATCTAGTGTTCTGGAATTCACATTCTTTGCAATGTTATTTATATTTGTTATGATCCACACAGTCAAATGTTTTTGCATAGTCAATACCACACAGGTAACATATCTCTGGTATTCTCTGCTTTCAGCCAAGATCCATCTAACATCAGCAATGTTATGCCTTGTTCCATGTCCTTTTAATTTCTGGCAGTTCCCTGTCAATATACTGCCACAACCATTTTTAAATTATCTTCAGCAAAATTTTACTTATGTGTGATATTAATGATACGGTTTGATAATTACTACATTCTGTTGCAGCACCTTTCTTAGGAGTGGGCAGAAATACAGATCTTTTCCAGTCAGTTAACTGACGAGGTAGCTGTCTTCCAAATTTCTTGGCATAAAAGAGTGAGCATCTCCAGTACTGCCTCCGTTTGTCGAAACTTTTCAATGGATATTCCATCAATTCCTTCAGTGCAGTTTGGCCTTTCTTCCTCAATACCACTGGTTCTTGATCTTATGCTATCTCCTGAAATTGTTTGTTGTTGTGTTCCTGTTATGTGCCGTTGAGTTGGACCCGACTCATAGCGACCCCTCCTTGGGTTTCCAGGGTAGTATCACTACGAAGTAGATTGCCCCATCTTCCTTCTGAGGAGTGGCTGGTGGGTTTGAACCGCCAGCCTTCTGGTTAGCAGTCAAGTGCCTTAGGCACTAAGCTAGCTCCTGAAATGGTTTAACATCGACCAATTCTTTTTTGTACAGTGACTTCTATATATTCCCTCCATCTTCTTTTGATGCATTCAATACTTTACCAATAGAATCCTTCAGTAGTGCAATTTGAGGCTTGAATTTTTTCTTCAGTTCTTTCAGCTTGAGAAATACCAAATGTACTCTTCCCTTTTGATTTTCTAACTCCAGGTCTTTGTACATTTTATTATATATAATACTTTAGTTTGTCTTCTTGAGCCACCCTTTGATGTCTTATGTTTAGCTCCTTTACTTCCATTCACTTCAGCTACTCTCCATTCAAGAGCAATTTAAATGTCTCTTCTGACATCCATTTTGGGTCTTCTCCTTTTCTGTGTTTTTAATGACTTTTTCTTTTCTTCACGTATGATATCCTTGGTATCACCTCACAACTCATTTGGCTTTTAGTCAGTGGTGTTCAATGTGTCAAATGTATTCTTCAGATGGTCTCTAAATTCAGGTAGCACATACTCAAGGTCATATTTTGTCTCTTGTGGACTTGTTTTAATTTTCTTTACCTTCAACTTACATGAGCAATTGATAATCTATTCCATAGTCAGCCTCCAGCCTTGTTCTGAGTGATGATACTGAGTTTCTCCATCATCTCTTCCCACAAATATTTTATTCTTGTGTACTCCATTGGGCGAGGTCCATATGTACAGATGCCGTTTATGTTCTTGAAAAAAGGTGTTTGTCATGAATAAGTGGTCGTTCTTGTAAAATTTTTTCATGTCACCTCCACTAATTTCTATCACCAACCCATATTTTCCAGCTACCAATGTGCCTTCTCTGTTTCCAACATTTGCATTCCAATCACCAGTAATTATCAATATGTCTTTATTGCATGTTTCATCAATTTCAGACTGCAGAAGTTGGTAAAAATCTTCAATTTCCCCCTCTTTGGCTTTAGTGGTTGGTACATAAATTTGAATAACAGTATTATTAACTGGCCTTCCTTATAGGCATATGGATAGCATCCTATCAGTGACAGCATTGTACTTCAGGATAGATCTTGAAATGTTCTTTTTGACAATCAATGTGATGCCATTCCTCTTCAACATGTCATTCTTGGCATAGTAGACCATATAATTTTCCAATTTAAAGTGGTCAGTACCAGTCCATTTCAGCTCACTAATGCCCAGGATATTGATCTTTATGTATTCCGTTTCATTTTTGATGACTTCCAATTTACCTAGATTCATATTTCATACATTTCATGTTCCAATTATTAATGCATGTTTGCAACTCTTTCTTCTCATTTTGAGTTGTGTCCCATCAACAAATGAAGGTCTAGAAAGCTTTATTCTGACTCCATCATTAAGGATGACTGTACTTTGAGGAGGGAGTTCTTCTGCAGCTGTATTTTGAGTGCCTTCCAACCTTAGGGGCTCATCTTCTGGTACTATATCAGACAATGTTTCACTGCTGTTCATAAGGTTTTCAGAGGCCAATTTTTTTCAGAAGTGTACCTGGCCATGTCCTTCTTCCTAGTCTGTCTCAGCCTGAAACCTCCATTGAAACCTGTCCATAATGATGACCCTGTTGATATCTGAAATACTGGTGGCACCACTTCTAGCATTACAGCAACATGCAGCATGCAACCACCACAGTATGACAAACTGACAGATGAGTGGTGGCCCTAATATTAGTATATGCATACATCTGTAATAAGAACATATAAGGTGCACACGACCCAGGTCATGTATTTTCAATCACCTCACATGCCTATGAAAGCTGGAGAATGAATAAGCAAGACTGAAGAAGAATGGGTGCATGTGAACTATTGTGTTGGTAAAGAACATTAAATATACTACAGGCTGCTAGAAAAATGAAAAAAATCTATGTTTGAAAAAGTTAGTCAGAATGCTCCTTAAAAGCAAGGATGGTGAGAATTTGTCTCATGTACTTTGGAAATGTTATCAGGAGGGACCAGTCCCTGTAGGAAGACATCATGCTTGGTAAAGTACAGGGTTAGCAGAAAACAGGAAAAACCTCAATGAGATGGACTGATACAGTGTCTACAACAATGTGCTCAAACATAGCAATGATTGTGAAGATGGTGCAGGACTGAGCAGTGTTCATTTCTGTTGTACACAAGGTCACTATGAGTTGGAACTGACTAGACAGTACCTAACAACAACATATAATGGTACTGAAAGATTTAAGTGAAATGTAGTTGAGTGAGACTTGTCTTTCAGTTAGAAAAGCAAGCTGATTAAACTAACATTAATGATTAACTTTGAAAAACAGGTACTTCTGGTGTGTCACAGAGCACAAAGTAGAACTGGTATTACAATAGTTAAGCCTTTGGCTGCCAATCCAAAGACTGGTGGTTCAAAGCTACCAGTTGCTCCACAGGAGAAAGATATGGTGCTTCCATAAAGATTACAGGCTAGGAAACCCTATGAGGCAGTTCTACTTTGTCTTATAGAGTCTTAGAGCAGATTTGATGGCAGTTGGGTTTTTATAGAGCACTTAAAGAGTAAAAGAAGGCAAACATACTATAGGATGAGCACACTTGACACAGTGAAGTAAGGAAGACAGGGTGCTAGGAGCCAAGAACACTTGTCCTTTATCTCCTCTGAGTCTTATCCCTATTAAAATTCCACCACATTTTTTCATATCCCATTAAAAAGAGCAGGCCATGTACATTCCAAAACTAGGGGGACATTCTCTTCTAGTTCTATCTGTAATACCTGACTACAGTTGCTTCTCACTGACCCTTTGTGCTGGCTATAGACTGAAGCACCTACCAAAGTCAAAATGAAACCACTCCTACAGAGTCAACTGCAACTCATGGCAACCTTAGAGGGCAGAGGACAACTCTTTCCAAGGCTATAAATCTTCATGGAAGCAGACTGCCTCATTTTTCTCCCATGGAGTGGCTGGTATGAATCACTGACCTTTTGGTTAACAGCTGAATGCCTAAACCACTGTACCACCAATGCTCCTTCTGAAGTATCTAGAAATCTAAAAATGCTTGTGGGAAAAGCCATAAGACAAATTTATAGTCCTGGATAGAAACTAAGGAGCTCTGGTAGCATAGTGCCTAAGGCATTTGACTATTGACCAGAAAGCTGGCGGTTCAAACCACCAGCCACTCCTCAGAAGGAAGATTGGGCAATCTACTTCTGTAGAGATACCTCAGAAACCCAAAGAGGGGTCACCATGAGTTGGGAATGACTCAATGGCATTGAGTTTGGTTTTTGGTGTTTTGGATAGAACTATGCATAGGGGTGTTTTACAAGTTACACTGTCAGTGTCAAAGCCAAGACTTAGAGTTAGTATTCTTCAATGAATCCTTATCACTCTGTAGCCTAAATGCACTATGTCACTTCTCCTTAAAATATCCTTGGACTAAAAGTTTAACCCAGTACCTCAAGCATCTCCTTCAAATTATTCCCAGCTCCCACTACCTATCAAATGACAACCCAAATCTAACCAGTGAATACTTAAGAAAGCTTTAAGGAGAAAGGATATTCAGATTAGGGTAAGGATCTGAGGAAGAATAATCTGTTAATTCCCTTACCTAAAATAAGTAGCAATGCAGAGAATTACCACCAACATAGGATAATATATATAGAATCCATCTGCAATAAAGGATAAAACTTTCATGGAACCCATAATCTGAAGAGCAAGAAAAAAGTAAATCAGAGTTCTGTATTGTTTTTTTTAATTTTTAATCATTAAAAACTTGCCTAAAGCCAGTTATACCAGTAAATTTGAACTTTTCAAAAGTAAAAACAAAGCACTAAGGACTGTTTTTTTTAACTTGATTTTTATTATGTTTTTCTTGTTAAAGAAAATTAACATTTTATAAATATTACTAAAAATTATCATATGCATTAAGAGAAATATAAAAGTAAATATTATTTTAGGTCATATCTATTAATAATTCTCAGCTAGGCAATTTATGTGATCAAAATAAATTTATAATAAAAGAAAATAAAATCACTTTTATCCAATTATTACAATCTTTAAAGAAAAAGTTTAGTTATTAAGAAAAATAATCCCAATAACAGTATACAATTTTTCTGGAAGCATTAAAAGGAATTTCACAATAACATCTCAATTAGATGATGAATCTAAAGAATTGTTTTCTGACCATACTTACAGATGTATAAGCAGTTGGCTGAGTATTCTGGTGAGAAATGGATGAATCCATATGGGTCAAACCCAAGAAATTAAGACATAAAGGAGGAGTTAAACGGCAAAATAACCTACAGTAAGAATTTTAAAACAGAATATATATATATAAATACAGCAGCAAAATATATTATATGAAAATGTTTTAGGAATATTTCAGAGTATTCTAACTACTATATTAGTTTTATCTATTTGCATTTTATATATTCCAAATTCTTAATGTGAATTGCCTTTACTTACTTGGAAGACATTTGAAAATCCTATTAACTACATTCCTCTTAAAAACATCAACATATCCAAGGCAAAGCACCAGTCTCAGGCTGCCTGCTTTGGTGGTGGTGGCCCCCACAGTACTAAGAGTGGCAATCAACTGGATAGCAAAGGGTGCTGGTATGCCAAGAATCTAAGGGATGCCTTCACATGTGCCTCCTTCAATACTACTATCTGTGCAACCCATCTCAGAAGCAAGACAAAGATAGTGATATCCTCAAGGTGAATTCTACTCATTACATAAAATATCTGAAGTTGTATCAAAACAGGTCAATCTGACAAATGCAGGGATAAAGAATTAATATTGGTCAGTTTTACCCAGATAAAAAAGAATCTCATAAAATTACAGAGATGGAAAAGTGAAGAAGGGAATAATGAGAAGTGAATGCAAAGAAAAAGAGCATGAGGTCATTGAAACAGTTCTGTATCTGGACTGTGACAAAGGTGACCGCAATCTACATGCAAGCACACACATACACCCAAGTAAAGTAAGGTTAAAATATGGCAAGAACTGAAGAAGGTCTCTGGTCTAGCTACCAGCAATATGTCAGCGTCACACTTTTTCCTACAGTTCTGACACTGTATCACAGCTACGCAGGATGTAACCATTGGGGAAAGCAGGGGGTAGGGTACATGGGACTTTGTACTATTTTTGTACCTTCCCACGAGCCTATAATTACTGTGTGTGTGGCTGGAGGGGAGAGCTTTTAAAAAAATAAAGATATTTGCTTCAGATATCAATTCCTTTGTGAACTTCATTAAATCCAACCTTCATAAAAAAAAACAGATATGACTGATTTAACAGTAAGGCCAAAAGTTATGCAACCTAGCTAGGCCAAGCAGGAGCCACCTCTCTGAACTCTCTTAATCTCTTAGAATAAACCTTCTGTTGTTTCGTTAGTCCTCTTTTCCAATTTTAGGCCACTGAATCTCAGAACATTGTCTACATCTAACTTAGCACTGAATTCCCAATTGTTCCTATTATTTACTAATTTATTTATTGATCTCTCATGGGTAAATCCAGGCTCACCATGCCTTTTCATCTTTCTTAACCCATATGCCGATTTTAACCTTAAGCTTTAAGCAGTATTTAATTATCAATCAATGAACATCTATTGAATTCCTAAATCTAATAAATGTTGTATTGTTGTTAGTTGCCACTGAGTTGATCCCAACAAACAGCAACCCTGTATGTGCAGAGTAGAACTGGGTTTTCAAAGCTGTGATCTTTCAGAAGCAGATTACCAGGGCTATATTCTGAGGAACTTCTGGGTGCATTCGAACTGCCAACCCTTCAGCTAGCAGTTCAGCACTTAACTATTTGTACTATTTAGGGAATCAATAGCTCATAGATTTACAGCTGTTAATGGAATATCTATAAACAACAAGAAATTAAGGCGAACTCTATAGAATACATATAATAGAGACACTTCTCGTTTATAAACACAATCCTACTTACATGCCACTGAAAAGAAGGCTGTAAGCATCAGTCTGGTGATGTGAAGCCAAGTAATAATAGTTAAATACACGGATCCTGAATACAGTAGAATAAACACAGATACTTAGGAAGAATATGGAAAGGAAGCAAGCAATCTGAAAAAAAACAATAAAACAAGTTTAAGACTAATAGATATTGTTGTTGTTGTTATGTGCCGTCGAGTCAGACCTGACTCATAGCGACCCCTCCTTGGGTTTCCGAGGCAGTATCACTACGGAAGTAGGATTGCCCAACCTTCCTTCCGAGGAGTGGCTAGTGGGTTTGAACCGCCAGCCGTCTGGTTAGTATTAGCAATTTATATACTATCACAGCATTTCCTTCACTGCCAGTTAACATTTATTGAGGTTTTAAAATTTAAATAGGTTTTTTTAGCATGCAACAAAATGAAACTAGGAAAAAAAATCTACATTTAATCCAATTCAATATCATACATCCATATGTTTCAAATCTATCTCATGAAATGAGTGTTTTCCCATTACCTTGGGAATTCTTCACATCAAGAATGTTAGTTACATAGCGTCATTGGCATAAAGAAGATCAAGGTACTTATATGAGAGAATTTTGCATTATTTTGCACCTTTCAGCTCTCCTAAAATAAGTTTTATAATCTAGGTAAATTTACAAAGCTTATTTTAGAAATCTAAATAATACCACTTTGAACTTCACTGCTTTCATTATTACTATAACAAATACACGGAGAAAAGCTACCACAGTTAAGGATTAACTATAAACTGACAAGTATTTATGACAAGTATATACTGAACTGACCTCGATATAAATGTAATTGTATGTTTTTTCTGCCAGCTGTATGAAGACGGCAAAGAGGGATAAGACAGGCCTAGTGCTAAAGAACGTGCACTCTGACCACACAACAATCACAGAAAAGACAGACAAAACCACAGCAAGTATCCTGTAAAACCATGGTCGCAAAAGGCATTCCCAGTACCATTCTAGAAAACAAACAGAAAAAGAAAAAAGAAGATTAAGGAAACTCATAAAAGAACCATTTCCCTACAATACACTTAAACAACAAAGAGAAATACAGCAATTTAACAGTGGAGTAACTTGGCAGATACCACCCTGACGAAATGATCACTAGTATTGGGACAAATTGACATTGTAGGTCTCTTGCTATAAGGCACTGAGAACATGACACCACTGTTGTAGTATTCCTGCCAGAAAATGCAGAAAACTAATCTAATGATAAAGGAATAACAAAAATCAAATTCAGAGGTTCTTGGCTATTAAAAAGGTTGGCAGTTCGAGCCCACCAGTAATTCTGCAAGAGAAAGATGTGGCAGTCTGCTTCTACAAAATATTTGATAGCCTTGGAAATCATATGGGGCTGTTCTACTCTGTCCTATAGACTGGCTATGAGTTGGAATCAACTTGACGGCATCAGCTTTTCTATACCGAGAAATTGTTCTGGATTAAAGGACACTAAGGAAACATGACAATTGAATGCAATGCATGATCTGGGATTTTTTAAAATCAAGATTAGTATTGGGAAAACTAGCAACAGATTATATATAACATTGTATCAATTTACTGGTTTATATTTGGTTATGTAAGAGAACATATTTTTAAAAAAATATACAGCTAAATAAAGCACTTAGGTGTAAAGAAGCATCATGTCTGTATTGGATTTTCCAAAGATTCAAGTAAAAATATATGCAGAGAGAAAAATACAAAGGAAATGATTATGATGAAATGTAATTTGGGAATCTGGGTAAAAGGTATATGGGAATTTTTTGTACTATTTGGCAACTTTTTGTTCAGTCCGAATTTAGATAAAAATAAAAGTTAAAAAAAAGAAGTTCATAAAGTTGAAAAAGCTGTATTTTTGCTTGATCCATTGAAGATTTGAGCTCCTGGCTCGTTGTCTTTTCAGCTCTACTCTCAGTCTAATCTCTGGTATTTCGATATCCTCCTTTCACTACCTTGGTATCCAGTTCCTTGATTTCCTCTCCTCTAATGATCTTGTCCTCAATTATTCCCATTCATTTTCATAGTTATCCCTAAATCTTTTATTGTCAATTACTCCAAACCTTCCAAATCATCTCAAATTCCAGCATCTCTTTTTCTAAATTAGTATTTCTAAGTTAGTATTCTAATTTCACTAACTGATTCTACCTAGATCAATAATCCACTTATCCTACTGCCTTCTTATTGTTTCTTAATATGCTCATGTCCTATGTTCTTCCTTACCCAGTTCAGATTCCTTATCTTTGATGATAATCACTCTCTAATTTCTCATTTTCTGGTTAGAGCCAACTCTCTGGGCTTGCACCCATACAGCTGCACATGGCAGGAACAAGACAATGAACTTTGCTGACTAGACTTACTTTAATTTAATCATAACCACCAGCTTTATGTGGGCCTCCAGAACTGCCTGGCTAGCTTACTATTATTTCCTAATCTTCTCTCATGCCCACTCTCCTACGCAACTATATTATATCTTCTCTTCTCTCCCAAAATCTCCACCCCTATACTTACTCAAGAAGCTCTGGTGGTGTAGTGGTTAAAGCATTTGGCTGCTAACCAAAAGGTCAGCATTCAAACCCATCAGCTGCTCTGCAGGAGAAAGATGAAGCAGGCTGCTTCCGTAAAGATTATTAGCCTGGGAAACCCTATGGGGCTGTTCTACTCTGTCCCTAAAGGGTGACTATGAGTCGGATCGACTTGATGGCAGTGGGTTTGGTTTTACAGAGAAAATAGAAGCAGTCAAAAAAGAACTTCCCCAAGTTCCCACAACTACAACAGCATCTCATCTACTTAGGTACATCCTGACTAAGGCCATTCTCTTCATTTATTCACTAGTTCTCATCTCATCCCTCCTATTCATGAACATTGTCCCAGCAATTCTGCCTCACATTTCTGAAATCTAATGACCAAATCTTACTATTCATGATGCTTGACCTATGTGCATCATTTAAAAAGGTACTTACACACATTTTCCTCAAAACATCTCACTGCCTTGGTTTTCCTCCTACTACTTTAGCTATTCCTTTTTAGTCTTTTTGCTCATCAACCTGATCTCTAAGGTTCCTCTTTTCTGGAATGCCTTAGGGATTAGTTCTCAGACTTTCTCTTTTCTCTACTACAATCACTTCTTTTCTGATTTTCTCCTGACACATGGCTCAATTATACACTGATGACTCTAATTTCTATCTCCAGCCCAGATTTCTCCCTTGAATTCTAATTTCTATAGTCAACTACCTACTTAGAATCTTTATTTACATCTTTATGTGTTAATCATTCTACAAGGCAGGGATTTTTATCTGTTTTGCTCACTGATACCAAGCACCCAACAATATATAGCATATATGTGCTTAAATACTAGTTGATGAACAGATACGGGTATCACAACATTCCTTCCTTAATTAGAACAGACTTTTATTGATGAGTTTATCTCAGATACCTGTTTTGGCCATATGGTCTTCATACTCAAGACCAAATCTCCAAAAGTGAATATGAAATTATTTGTTTAAATAATTAAGGCAAAGAGAACTTTTAGTACTGTGATAGACTGGTATTTGTAGTAAGTTTTTACTAAATTTCCTCTTGTCTGAAACAGCTATTTTTTGGAGACAGTTTATCAGACATTATTACCATATGGTACAAATTAAATTTACTTAATACAAATATAAGTCAGCTCTACATTGGTAAAAATATATACTTTTTTTTCATACCAACTGCAGGATTATAAAAATACTGGATAAATCTATTTTCTGGTTCTGGTGATTGAAAGGTGTGAACAAACTGATGAGTTGCACTGGCTTCATTTTTTGCTACATCTTCTAGATAAAATGCTTGTTCCAAAAGAATCTGCCATTGTACTTGAGTTCGACGGTGCCTCTGAACTGAATAAATCACCTAAAAAAGAGAATGGGGCATGTATCTGTCAGTGTTTTGATCCAAGAGTGATTTAACTCCCCTTATGGAGCACACTTTGTCTGTCAGAACAGCAGGGAAGTGCTAGTGGCATTTACTGAGTAGAGCCAAGGATGTCAATGTTCTATAATATATGTAAGACTTCTGCTCAGTTAATAATTCTCCCTCCCAAAATGCCAACAGCACTCCTGTCCAGAAACACTGAGTCAGACCAAAAACACTTTAAAGAATAATGATAAGGACAGGACCAAAGGTTATCTTCACTAAAAATTCCTTTTTGATAAGCAATAACTAAAAATTTAACTAAAATCATCAATAACTAAAATAAGTATAATTAATACATAAAGTTACCTGTTTATGAAGTTTTACTAGACTTTTTTCACTTGGGTAGGTATTATGCTTTTCATCAAAATCTTCATAATCATCCATGTTCCTACCCATTTTTTCCTGGTACTCTGTGGGGCACTAAAAAGGAGAGGTAGATTTTTTTTTAACCTTATTTGCAAAATGATAAAAGTTTATGGCCATTTCTAATTTTCTCAAAAATAAATCTTCTTGGCATTTCTGAATAACTGAATTTTACATAACAATGTTTCCTTGAAAAATGTCTTAAAAGATGTACTGAGTTCTGAGCTATAAGAAATTTTCTTATCTCTATGAACAGAGATAACAAAAAATATCTTACTATCTCTATTAATCTTTTTTTTAAAAAATTTTTTATTGTGATATGGGTACAAATTTACAAAGCAGATTCGTTTTACACACAACAGTTCATGCACATTTGGTTTCACAGTCCAGAGTATCATCCCCAACCATAAAAAGCTCTCCTCCCATTTCTTCCCTGTAAATACCCCCTCCCTGTGCCCTTATCTATGCATTCCTGTCTGTCCAGCTTTCCCTCTACACAAATGCTGCCCCTCTGATGTCTCATGGTTGATTGATCTAGGGGGTGCATCTCCCTAGGGTCGGAGGGTGCACCTCCCTGAGGTAGGTGTTCTGCTTGTAAGTTTTTCTATTGTTGGGCTAAGAGCTAATTCATGGAAGTGAGTCCAGTTCTAGGCCTGAAGTATAATCTGGAGCCATAGTCTTGAAGGTTCCACCAGCCTCTATCTGACCAGTAATTCTGGATATTTTTGTGTTTTTGAATTTTGTTCCACATTTTTCCTCCCACTTTATCCAGGATCTCCAATTTTGATCCCTTTCTGACTGGTTGATATCGGTAGTCAGGCACTATCTGATTCTTCTGTTTCTCAGGGTCATGAAGGCTGAGGTCCCTGTGTCCATGATACCCTTGGACGTACTGTTTCCAAATGATTTTGATTTTCTTCACTCTTCTTTGCTCCAGACAAGAGGAGACCAATAGTTGCATCTTAGATGGTAGCTCACTTTTAAGACCCCAGTCGCTACTCACCAAATTAGGATGTAGAACAAGATTTTTATATACTATATTGTCAATTGAGCATGATGTCCCCCAAGACTATGCTCTCAAGCCCGCAGTCCCGGTGATGTGATTCTCTCCTTCAAGGTGTTTGGTTGTCTCTGAGAAGCTACTCCAACCTTGTCCTCTGTTACTTCTGTAATGTATGTGGATAATTTTGTAGAGAAAGTACATACATAAGACTATCTTCAGCTAAATCTATCCTTGGTCTTGGGTATATTCCTGTTCACCTGCCCCCACCTGATCATCTTCTCATCTGTCTATGTATTTACCCTTAGCCTAGTGTTTGGTCCCAGTGGTAATGCAGTATTGTGCACGTAATAATATTTGCCTCTGTTGTCTATGGGAGCGCTGGTAGCGTAGTGCTTACGACACTTGACTGCTAACCAGAAGGCTGGCAGTTCCACTCCTCGGAAGGAAGGTTGGGCAATCTACTTCCATAGTGATACTGCCTGGAAACCCAAGGAGGGATCGCTATGAATCAGGTCCGACTCTATGGCACATAACAACAACAACAACATGATTGCCTTATTTCACTCAGCATAATATCCTCCAAATTCACCCATGTTGTGTGAGATGATTCATGTATTCTTCATTATTCTTTAATGTTGCATAGTATTCCTCTGTGTGAATGTACCATAGTTTGGTTATCCTTTCATCTGCTATGGGCATTTAGGTTATTTCTATCTCTTTGCTACAGTGAATTGTGCTGCGATGAACATGGGTATGTATGTGTCTATTTGTGTCCTGTCTCTCACCTCTTTATTAATATTAATATTTATACTCAGAAACAGTAGCTTAGAATGGGTTGGAGGACAGGGAAGCTTACATATAAGGCAACCAGTATTTGAGGATTATTCTAAGTAGGCACCTGATGACAAAGTTGCTTTCATAGCTAATTAATGAGGAAGAATCATGACAAATTCATGATGCTAAATTTTTGAAAGGCATACTACAGAGAAATAAATACAAGATTTAGAGTCATACTCATTGCCGTTGAGTCGACTCTGACTAAGAGAGACCCTATAGAGTAGATCTGCTCCATAAGGTTTCCGAAGCTATAAATCTTTGTAGAAGCAGACTGCTACATCTCTCTCTGGTAGCGTGGCTAGTGGGTTCAAACGGCCAACCCTGTGAATAGCAGCCAAGCGCTTTAACCACTGTGCCACCAGAGCTCCTCCTACTAGCCATTTATAATCTATATAAACTTGTGCAAATTACTTAACCTCCTAGAATAAGTCTCAAAAGGTAGTAAATGTGAGAGAAATGGTTAGAGAATTGAGTCCAATGACAACCAGGTTAGCTGAAAGTACTCAGTACAATAGATTTAAAATATAGGAAAAGAATCATGACAGTGGTTCTGTGATATATAAAAGGCTAGTGGGGAACTCTTAAATAATCATTTGTGGCAGTAACATGAATGCCCCTATTTCAACACCAATGAATCAGTCTTAATTGTATGCCTTTTTATTAAACCTTATGTTAAACACATCATGTCACTCATTTTTTGATATATGAACTATAAAATGACATGTAAGAAGCTGACTGAAAGAATCAATTTGAGGCCTTACTTGACTTTCTTCTAAGGAGAGATGCCTTTAGTAACAACATAATGACATTTTAATGGACTAAAAAGGTACATCTCCATCACTGTGTCACAGCAATCACTATATATTTCTCCACGTCCTGATTACCTAGTACTGCTCTGACAAGAATATATCACAAATGGGATGGCTTGAACAAACAGGAGTTTATTCTCATAATTTGAAGCCTTTAAGTCCAAGTTCAAAGTAACAGGCTCTAGGGGCTGGGTGAAAGTCGCTCAACCTTGGGCTTCAGCTCTGCCTCCTGCTCCCGGCCCACCAGAACTAGAGGTTTTTCTTCACTCAGACAGCTGCTGGCTGCTGAGACTAATAAACCCAAGGTTGACAAATACAATGGCACAGTCCTGATTTTATTAAACCACACAACAGGTCATTAATTGAAGTCCATTGAAAGTACCAAGGTTGGCACAGCATGGCAGGCTGCTGAACAATGACACGGCTACATGCAGGGTTCAAGCGTGTCATAAACTGAAGACCATTCCCAAAGCTGTTTTTTATATACGGGAAGAAGACCACATACCCAAAGGCAGCTACTCAGCTGCTTCCAGTAGATTCCATCATGGAGCTGATTGCTAGTCTCATCATGAGGAATACTACATCCAGCTGCCCAGCCACTCAACCAGGCCCAGCCACTCAACCAGGCCTAGCCAAGTTGATACACAAACTTAAACACCACACTCCACATCACCTCTATCCCTAAATTTCAATGGGAAACACTGCAAATAATTAATGTTAAAGTTGTATTTCCATAAGAACATATTGTGTTTATAAATAATTACTGGTTTACAGTTAAGATTTTCATGAAAATGAAGTTGGGAAAACCTCAACTATATAGATTGTTCTCATGCTTTTCTTATAATATTGTATATATTTATATTTCAAAATGAAGTAGGTGAGATAATATAATTTAATTACCTTTTTAAGTATTGTGTCAACACATTTTCTCAAAGGGTGGTTATACTTGATGCTTTCATTCACTTTACGGACCTCCTATAAAAAAAGCAAGAGAAATAATTTCTATAGATAAGGTATCTCAAATGACAAGAATACACTAGGTATTATATATATTCTCACAAGTTCAATTTCAACCCAAATTACTTACCAGATATATAAAGTCCCTGTGACTGAATAAAATTCCCTACAAGCACAAGTAAATATCCATTAATTGAAAAGCTGTATGCACACCTGCACATTTTTTATTCCTTTCTAGATTTACTCTTTTATGATTTGCCTACTTGTATGCAAAGATGTACAAGCGTTACAAAAAATTCATGAAGGATCAGACAAACCTTGTGATTCTCTATACATTATCTGAAAAACAATAGAATTGTGTTCCTCTACTTTGCACACCCAAGATCAATTAATTATCTCATTATCGCACAGTGAAGAAACCAGAAGGAGCAGAAAAGGTAAAAGTGTCAACAACTGTCTGCTCCTTTCCAGTAGGAGAGTATTCTAAAGCATCACATGATTTGTATATCCAATACTCATTTATTCAAGAGCACACTATGGGCCAGGCACTGTAGGTGTAAGGTTACCATAGTCCATATTGGAGGATAGGGAGCAGAAGACATGGTCTTATAGGTCTTTGACTAAGATTACAGTTTGCTAATGAGATAATTAAATGAGAAATTTAATGAGAAGGAAAGACAAAAAGGAATTAGGAGAGGAATCTTTAGAACCAGTAGTCCCCAAAGGAATTACAATATTCTATAATGTTTATGGAAACCACTAATCTAGGCAGAAGAAATAGCATACTCAAAGGGTGGGAGGAAAGAGAGAACACACATTGTGTATAGAAGGGTCTATTTCCCCACAATTTCACATCTTAAATGGTAACATTTTATAATTTTGCCTGAAAATGTTTCTCATTTTTTCAATCTGTAATTGTTTTTAGTGAGCTTAATCAAAGAATAGTATTTTAAAAAGAACATTCATACTGTAAGCTATAGAATGGTTTTAAGGGATACAAAATTAGAATCAGGGAAATCATTTGGAATATAGATGAGTCATGAAAAATTATCTATAATGTATATAATAGAGAGTCACTATTCTTACTTAGGAGCTCTGGTGGCAAACTGCCTAAGGCACTTGACTGCTAACCAGAAGGCTGGCGGTTCAAACCCACCAGTCACTCCTCAGAAGGAAGGCTGGGCAATGTACTTCCGTGGTGATACTGCCTCAGCAACCCAAGGAGGGGTCGCTATGAGTCGGGTCCAACTCAACGGCACATAACAACAACATCCTTACTTAATATATGAAGAGCTCTTGTAAATCAATATAAAAATAAGCAAGAAAGAAAAGAAATATATTTGGCTGATAAACGTTTGAAAAAAGTTAAGCTCATTAAAAAATAATAACAAATTAAAAAAATGAGAAACATTGTCAGGCAAAATTATAAACTATTGCTATCATTTAAAGGAGCTCTGGTAGCATAGTGGCTAAGGCA